GATAATTATGTATTGAATATGCCTAGCTCTTAATCGTTCAGTGTTTAAAAAAGTATAAAATAAATTTAGCAAAGAATGTCACGACAGTGCGAGACATAGACAAATATCCATTTTAGAATTAAAATGCAATGATGTCCTATATATTTAAATATTTTATTTGAAAAGCAGTGTTGCGTCTATCGTCATATTGCCTCTGGTATTGCTGAAACGGTTTTTAACTATGGTCCAACACTTGAGACTTCCCCCTCCTTCTCAAGGAATGGATTTCATACAGTAAATATTTCGTGATGTAAACAGTCTTTATGTGAGCTCAGACATGTTGGAGTGAGACCTACGTACACATAGTGTGTAAAGCGGGTAAATGAGTGTTTTTTTTAACAGAAAATACATCCTAAAATTTTCCTTTGCTACACGTATTTGTCTTGATGGTAATATGTTTTATCGTTCTAGAAATGGAAATCAAGAACAATGTTCACATGCTCTTACTGTGAAAAGCAGTCTGATCAAGCATATGTTATGCTTGATAACATAGAAATAAAGCAACATCATAGCTTCATTTCCATCAGAAATTAAAAGAATAAAAATTGACAATGTATATTTGTAAGGTGTACGCATATTATATACAATGTACACATATTTTTTATTATTTTTTCAAAAGGATCGTATTAAAGCTTACAGATTATTTATTTTGTTGTTTATTCAATACATTGAATAAGTCCCCAAGTTTATCATCAGCTCAGTAGTCAGTGCTGTACTGACATGATTTATAACAAACCTTTCTAAAATTGTTTACCTCCTAGGGGGACTGGGGAATAGAAATATGGTCACTTAGGTCCTCTTCCGAACGGCAGTAAAACCCTTGCCAAAGTGGGGCGTCCATTTGGCAGTGCGGAATGTTCAAGGTCGCAGCCACGTCCGGTCAGAATGGGGCGTGCAGAGAGAGTGCCACGCTCACTACACGTTAAGAATCCTTGCAACAGCTATTTGAGGGATCCGTTGGCGGCCTGTTGCATGGCAAAATTTCTCTCCATAGCCTATATACCATCATTTTCAGTGGCAGTCTAAATGTCCCGACCTTCAATCCGAACGTCCTCTGTTACAAGACCTACCTATTTGTTCTCGTCCTTAACATGTATGAAATATTTGCCACTAGACGTTAAACAACCAGCAACCAATCGTTTAAAATTTTCCGTTTATAAATTTAAAATTATAAAGAAAATCAGGTTTCAACTCCCTCAGGCAAAGTTGACAATATATGGATTTGGCTATTTTGAAGTCCTTTTTAGTCATATATGTCTTCAAATGTGTCGGATCTTATACATCCTTGGCTTTCAAATATTCGGTTTTGAACGTTCCGGATGAAGGTAAATCCAGAAAAACGCTTCGAACGCATGAAACTTATAAAGTGTTGTTTTCATTGTTTATTAGATATTCCATCCAATTCAAATGTTATTGTAATTTTTATGGAGGTGGGTACTCTTTTAGTAGAATATTTGGTTTCATATTGAATTATCTGACTTTTTTTACTGCTTTTCCTTAGTTTTCTTGCTCCCATGTTTTTTCGTCACTGTAATGTATATCAATCTAATATTATTGACTGTATTGTCTCCTTATTTTTATATGTAAAAAAAAGGAAGCGTTGAATGAAATTGAAAGGATTATGAGTCCCTGTACTCGGTTCTAAAGACCGTTTTAAAAAGGACCCAGTGATTTCATTTATATCGTAATACTGCAAGGTAATGGTAAAATGTTTTCAGAATTAAACATGATAATAATGTAAAAGTTATCATTAAATTGAAAAGGGTTAAATTTGATCAACATAGTAATATGTTTTTGTGACTTATCAAGAATATATAATATTGTCCTTCGCTAAATTACTGTTACAAAGTAGAAAAAAGTAAGTTTTTAAGCCAAAGAATGTCTTCTTTCTTATTCACATTTTATTAAAAAAAAAACCGAACCATTTGTTGAAAAACCCGGACGTTTTTTTTAAAATGTTGCTCTCGAAAAAAACACGGACAATATGAAACGCTGAATTATAAGTGAACTACAAGGAATTTGTGCGTCGCTTGTGATCAGAACATGTATATACCATTGAGAATAAGATGATTAGTCACGAATAAAACTATTATACTCGCGAAATAACAGTAAATCGAGCTGATCGCATGTAATATCACTCGACAAAATCCGATCTAGAAAGTGGACCGATTCACTCGAAAAAAACACGATATCAGCCGGACACTTTACCTACCGTGTATTTTGTCAAGATATAATTGCTTCTCAATCCTATTAACTAATTGTAAAGTATAATTAGTTTTCCATTGCTTGTTTAACAAAATATATAACATGTATAAATGAAATTATGCTTAACGTAGATAAATATACCAACAATAACCTCAAAATCCCTTCATTAAAACAAACACATTAAGACAAATATGCTTTGAAATTTAGTAAAATTACTCTTTTCCTTATTCTGAGCATACAAAGACAGCCACAAATGATTGTGTATTTCATAGTTGTTAAACAACGCATGAAAATGTAACTTTTCGAAGAAATATTACATTTTTATTTAGGAAGCCCAAACTAGACATGTAACCCCAGAACGAAGTAAAGGAATCTCTTTTGTGATTGCTACCTGAGGACGGACGCGCATGAAGATTAAATGCATGTACAGAACTGACACGCATAAACTATAAAAATACCAGAAGGAGCTTGGATAGTAATAGAGTCTTGATTGTTCAGTAACTATATCCATGTTTATAGTGATAACAGAATCTTCTATTAGTGCATGCTTTAAGGCGACTGTTGTAGCAGTAGTATATCTAGCATTCTTAAATTCCCCAAAACACACAATAAATATCGAATTATCACATGACATTGTGGTATTTCGCTTCGTAATGCTATACTGTCGATGAATTTTTGCATTGAACTTTACCTTTCCCAACTCATTCTGTATTCAAGAGCGTACAGCTCTAACTCAGGCTTCACGTCACCAGTGTCTGAGCCGAACGTTGATGAACCAGGGTTATGTCAAAGAACGTCCTTTTTCTAAAACAGTTCATCAGAAGATACCAAGACCTTGTTGAAAAATATTCCGTATCAACTTCATAAATAATACACGATGTTCTTGAAATAAAGATTCTAGGTACTGAGTTGTTTATCACCTTTTAAATTGCGTGTCATAGTGTTCTTTTTATTTGTCTTTGTATATTTTAACCTATACTGTTTAGTCCATTTTTGGAAATATCCTTTTAGTGTGGCTCGATATTTATACATCTTGCCATTGTTTTATTGTGCTATGATCATTTTTTGTATTCTTGTCTTTCTTTTTTGCTTATGTGCTTTGTCTATGAATGTCTATGCGCCATTTTGTTTTTCTTTGTTGACATGTGTATTTTTTTTATAGTGATTAAGATCATAACAGAATGTGAAAGCTGTACCCCAATTTTTGACATGTTTACAGGAATTCTATGGGAAATTTTCTTTGGAGTTCAGTATTTTTGTCATTTAACTTTTTACAATAAGGCAATGTTATACATGAGAAAAAAATCCTATCAGCGTTTCTATGAAGTTAAAAAAATTACGTTAAAATATAAATAACTTAAGTTTGCATATTTCCTCAGGTTCACTTCTATCTTCAGGTAGATAATTTCGATTCATTTTCAAAAGTGTTATGACGTGTTGGTGAATAATTATCAAATATAAAACGAATAATGTATTATGAAATTAATTGTGTCCTTTATCCCATTAACCATCAACGTTTTTTTGGAAATATAAATTCGCTCAATCGAGAGAGCCTGAGAAAAACTTGGTGAAATTTGTGATCTATGTTCGAAGAGATCGGAGGTTAGGTTTGTTTAATTTATCAATAATGCAACATATTCTTAAAATAAAATTTTAATATAGATACAAATTTCTTTGTATCTTCAAAGACATATTCATTAATTGTTTAAAGGGGCATTAGCTACGAGATATGTATATTATTTTTGTTCAATCATTAATGAAAGTGGAATAGAAAAATGAAATAATAATTCGCTTTTATCAGCTAGTTTGGTTCAACTTTGTCAAAATAAACTAACTAAGAAAGATCGCTGATGAATTATTCACTTGCAAGTGCATAATTCAAACTCATTGAATCCGTATTCATGTGACCTCCAATTAACCCCATAGCTGGAGATGGGTTACGCATGCACTATACGTGTTGAGCTATTAAAAGGAAAATAATGTCAACGTTGAAAGTAAAACTAGGTTTAACAATTTCGGAGATTGATTCGATCCACAAAACCTCATTCTTATACAAGGTAAAAACGATGATTAACATATTTGTTTAACCTATGCTATGAAACCAAACACACCTAGAAAAATCCAATTGCACGTGTTCGCTATCTACTTATATCTATATTTATGTTTATATCGGGGTATATGACCGTCGACAGTCTTCGGAGGTCACTTAGATGGTTAAATGGATGGCGTCTAGACTACACGAAATGCTGATACATATTATGGAGTTCATGCACCGTAAATTGCTTATTTTAGACTTTTTATAATTTGAATATACTTTTTAGTATGTTATAAATAATATATGTGAATTTGAGTCACATCGGGAACATGAATTTCATAGCTAATGCTCCTTTAAATATATGAAACAAAACTTACAACAATTCTACATCTGAACTATGCTTGATGTCTTTTCTTTTCTATGGTATCTTTTTGCTTGTTTGGAATCACGATAAAATATCATCAAGGTAACATCCATTCTAATGACATTTTTACCTTTAAGATACGTTAATGGAGAGATTAGTCTTTTATTGGATGTGTTGTTCTAATACAGACACGACCACTGACAATATAGCTATTAAAACCGTGTAATCAGTCTTCATATAGAATGAATAAATTATCAAGATGGCATAAGTATATGTCAGTTAATTGATTTTCTATAAATTTACTAATTTTAAATGAAAATTTTATCTGTGTATTGAGAGAAGAGGCAGTGTGTACAACAAGTTGACACAATAAAGCAATTTAAATTTCAGTAACGGAAGTTAGTGTTGAAATATTGATTATAATTGAGTTATATTAGTGATGGATTAATAAAAATAGTGAGAGTTGGAATAATTGATGGAGAAGAAATCGTAGAGAGGTTTTTGCAAAATGGGAAAGTTAAACAAACTTGAAATTGAATTTGACAATTCCAAAATTGTGTGTTATGCGGGAGAAACTCTTAAAGGAACTGTAGTAATCGATTTAAACGGCACCTTAAAAATTAAAGGTAAGGATAATTAAAAAGGGACCATTTTTAAAGGTGCACTATTAAAAATCATTATCATGATTAGAAAAGTAACAAAGTATAATACACAACAAGGATTGAGTTGTGTCTGTAAATGACAACTTCTCGTTAGTATAATTATGATAATGATAGTAATAATAATGGTAATAGTTTAAGGTTAAGACCTTTCAGATAACCTTAAGAAAAATGTGACAGTTTAAGACTTAAATGCATTTATTAGGGATAATAATAATAATAATAATAATAATAATAATAATAATAATAATAATAATAATAATAATAACAATTATAATAATAATAATAATAATAACGATAATAATTGTAATTCAATTCAATTCAATTCAATTCAATTCAATATTTATTGGAAAGAGCACAAGAGAGGCGTGATCCAAATACAGACAATAATAATATTAAAACAACATATAAATGAAATATAGATGCATGTAACAGCAAGACATAAGTAAATTCTATAGATACCATAACATTCTAATAATGATAATAATAATAATAATAATAAACACTGATATGCGTGAATACATCTGGTTCAGCAGTAGTGCAGTAGAACGTTGAAATAAAATGAAACTAAACATTAACCGAAATTTGTCCGACAGTAATTATAGATGATTAAAACTACTTTACTAACTAATTATGTATACATAATTTACGGAAAACTAACCTCTTGAGATGTTAAAATACATTATTATATGAAATTATATTGCTATATAGTTGAAACGTACTGTTGTACAGTTTTTTATAACGCTAACCTGACTTGTTAATATTGTATCATACTTCATAATCCTTTATGGCACTGTGGTCTTCTTTTTGTTCTGAAACTGTTTTACCGTTTCATCTAAACGCTCCAATATATGGGAGATAGATATTCGAAATTTTAAAGCGGCAATAAGTTATTTCTGTTGGTGCTAAAAATGCAATAGTCAAGGTTAATATGACTTTAGAAAAGGCAAATGTGCCAAAAGAGCAGGATACAGTTACTGCATAAATATTGTCGCTGTTTTAAAAAAAAGTCATCAGCTTTTAAATTACTTATCCTCATAGTTTACTGTAAATTCTGAAATTACTGTGAGTTTTTTATTACTGCTAATAATGCGTCTGGGTGAAAAAAGCAATAATTAGAACTTGCATTCTGATATCTGATGCATATATCTGCATGAAGATTTTTCATGAAATCGCAATTATTAATCTCACATTTTTATGCAGTCTTCAAAAGTCGCAATAATAAATGCACAGAATAATTTCTGAATTTACACTACTCTTAATTGCAGATGGTACCACCCTATAAATCTTCAAATCTTCGGTAATAACAAGTTAAAAAGATACAATTTGCATCTGACAAAGTTGACACGATTGTTCTACTAATGCCTATATGGTTTTTGGTAATCAAAAACGTTTCAATTCTTGACTCCTTTGTGTTTTTTTCTCGATCATACCTGATGAAGGACAGTCCTAAAATGTGTGCACGGAAATCGGTTCATACGTTTATTTATGGCGAGCGCGGCGAACGCGCTCAAAAACCATAATGAATCGAGCAGCTGAAATATTACAAATAGATATAAATGGATTCTGGTAATCGATTATTTGGGTTGTAAATGTGCGATAACCATGCCTTGAGCAGTAGTTTTGCTTTGTTTTTTCAAAGTAATCGTAAGAGGATTTGATAAATCCTGGGTCGGACTAATAAAATTGTTTGGTCAAACCTTTTTGTCGTCGGTAATATTACTCCGAGTCGCAGTTTCGGACCAGGTCAAACACATTTGACATCAAAAAGCCATGTAATGAGTATTGATGAAGAGAAAAAAATAGGTGAGGCAAAAGGTAAGACCTATACAAACTGCCAACCCAGTAAAATATGAATATTTGAACCTTATTTTGCTAGTAAAACAAGTGGCCTTGATTGACAATTTTTTTTGAAAATATTTATTTGCCCAACCTCCGTTTGCCACTACTAGATATAAAGGTTGTTTCTGAAGGTAATAGACTCTCATGAGGTTCTCATCAATACGTACTTTTACAATGTACCAATTCAGTGGACTAAGTTATTGCGAGAAAAAGAAAAATTGAAAATTTAGCAACAAGGATTGTTACAAAATGAAAATAGCACTACATTAATTTCGTTCTTCCGAATCGCTTTTCTGAATTAACCCTCATCCGGAACACTCAAACACAAACATATGAAAACTAAGGTTGCAGACCAAATCACACGAAGAGCTTTATCACTAAAAGGGACCTAATAATAAGCAAATTAATTTTCTAAGGTCAATTGTGCGTGAAGGAGGTTGAATTTAGTTTCTTGATAATTTCGTTATTTCTCGGAGAATTTAGGAAAAGTCAGTTATAAATTATTTCAGTACCGAAGTATTGACTGCTGATTTGAAGATGCACTCGGGAGAAGAAGAGTATACCAAACCAGTTTCGGTTTTAACTTTATCAATTCAGCATAAACTGAATTAGATATTTGCATCAGGCAAATGTGTGTACTATTTCGAAATGTAAGAATGCGATTGTTTGGCAAATGTATCAGTATTAGTTAGATTTCTTTGCCCAGTCAAATCCGTAATATATTGAATTTGACCGATTTTTCATCATTGTACAGTAATAACGTCGACATCTATTACAGTATTAAAGTATCAGTAATTACAAGCGGTATCGAGTCTTGAACATGTAGGGCGATTCGAGCTTATGCTTCATTTTTGAAGCCAGACAATGAATTTTGTCGTGAATTGAAACGACATTTCCTTTGTAAAAAAACAAGTTGCCATTAATAAATTAAAAAATATTTATTGTATAGATTTATATAATTGATAACAAAAATTTGATTCGCCAAGTTTAAATTGAAAATGTTAAAATGTTAAAATATTATGAAATAAATAATTATTTTTTATCAGTCGAGTTCAAAACTACTAAATAATTCATAATAAAGTACAAATGAAATAACATTTAGACATAATTTGAATAATTTGCTTTTTAAAAAGTGATTGCACATAATGTAATATTTCATTAAAATGCAAATTATGAATTTTGAAACAAAATTTGATATTTCCTTGTTTTCAATTCTAATCAATTTCATTATTTTCAGAGGTAATAGTCTTGTAAATATCCCCATTGACAATCAATATGAAATATTGAATATCGATTGCAAGCTGCTTTTAACATAATACTGATGCTATAACATTGTCAAGTATGCGGCTAATTTTAAAATATGATTTCCTGGAAAATTGTAGCAACTGTAAATGACCAGATTATTGCACGGATGAGAGAAATTCCCCTAACGATGCATGAATCACAATGTGGCTACGTTTGTAGGTATATTGAATAAAAGTGTAATATATAATTAATTTAATACACAAGTCTAAATTGAAAACAACGTTCAAACATATGATGGCGTTGGATAAAAACCGCAATTTGTATACATGTGCATGCAAAACACATTTCTTGGTAGAGGGGTCTAAATACAGCACAAACAACATTTTCCAAAAGACCAAAAAAGTGAAAAAGTATATTTCAACAAAACGCATTTGACTAGCAGGTCGAACAACGGATGTTCTTAAACACTGCAGACTGCCATGGCGATTGCCAAATAAACGGATCACCAAATGTAACAAAATGGATCTTAATCATTAATTTAATAAATAATAATAGAGAGAGAGAGAGGGAAAAGTTGATATTGAAATTCCGATAATGTTTACTCTGATAGCATGAACATTTAAACAACTACCCACACACTCAAAAGCAAACACCAGTTGATTAAAATGATAACAATTTCGCACTGGTTTCCTCCTTTTCTATGGAGTTTCGTTCTTAAAATCATTAGAAATTTAATGAACATTGGCCTGTTTCACTCGCTAACCTTTATAGGTAGAACCCCCTTGAAAAAATCTGGATCCGAACCGATATAATAATCATAATAGTAATAAATGAAACAACTGAGAAGTTTATCATTATATTTTTTTTTAAATTTGAATCATTACGTTTCTGTATCCTTCATAATAGATGTACATCAATATCCAATAAAGTCTTTTTGTACTCTCTTATCAACACATAACAGAGAATTCGTTTAATAATTATATATGAAAAAAGGAAAAACTTTATAATGAAATTAATATTGTTGTTCTCATAGCATAAACATTAAAACATCTACATACCCACAAGCATACACTAAATGATGACAGCGATAAAAATGGCGGACACAGAAAAGTCATGTTAATCACCTTGATTTTCGTTCATACACTCATTAAAAGTTTGACAAAAATTGGGTGGTTTATTCCTCTCCTTATAAAAGGAGGGATCCTTTTATAAGATCTGAATCCGAATAAGTATAATAATACTTTAAGTTATTATAATGCTGCTGATAATAATAACAATGAAAAAAGGAAAACACTGAAAAGATTATCACCATAAAAAGTGTCTATTTTTAAATCTTCAGGTTTTTGTGTCCTTCATAATTCATACAAATCAATATCCATTAAGTCTTGACTTTTTTGTACTCTCTTTTCAACATTCATTTATATAAAAAAGACATTTCTAACAAGAGAAAAAATTAAAAAAAAAAGATAAACGTCAGAAGTCATATCTAGAAAACGCACTACTGACATGATTACAAAATGACTTAGATAAAGAATATCAAGTAAATCTGAATGAAAAAGCTCTTGGTGAAGGCTTTGTTCTCGGTTGGCCTTGTCAACGCTGTCATGGAATAAAAGTTATTTATAGTAAAATTAATTCAGAAAATATTTGCCCTAATTCATATCTCGAAAACGTACTTACTGGTAGGGTGTATAAATTAATCAAAAATAGACTACCAACCTTGGATAGCGTGCTATAAGGTATTGGTTTTGATCATTGTTGAGGGAGGTACCCTGATCTATTATTGTTCGCATATTTGTCTTTTGGTCTTGAATGGATAGTCTCATTGGCAATCATATCCCTCACTTTATTTTTATAACGAGTAAATCAAAACAAAAAAA